ATTGTTTTCTTTTTCATTTTGTCATTTCCTCGCTGAGGTGGGATGAAAAGTTACGTATTGCACTCGAGTGGAAAGATTTTTCACCTTGTGCTCGTTTGTTTCCCTCGCTGACGCTCAGGATTCTAATTTAGAATCACTCGCTGCGCTCGTGATTCAACTTTAGAATCCTTCGCTTGCTCGGTCATCCAAATCGAGCACGCGGTTAAAAAGGAACTTTCCACTCTTGTATAATAAATAACTATTGTCGCTTACTGAAATTCATACCGCTCAAGTTAGTAGTTGAACAGTATCTCATCATCAGTCGCCGAGTTGTTTTTTTTTCTCTCGTTTTATTATTTTCCATTTTTTTTATGGTAAGTTTTGTAGTAATAGTTTAGTTTAGTAAAACGCGCTTGAATGACAATGTTATTATTTTGAAATTCATAAAAATATACCGAAATTCCATGTATCGAGCAGTGAGAATGTAGCTGCCTAATGAGTGAACCCTTTGCGCTGAAGGGATCGAAAAAGCGAAGGAGTGTTATTATGAAATTTAATTCATAACACCCTGTTTCAGAATCTTTTAAAGAGCTTTTAAAGCGTAGATAAAATAATATTGTACGTAACTCGTACTGTACCCCTAGCACGAACCGATATCGAATTCGTGTCGTTTGCGAGTCCGAAATGTCATTGTCAAATGTGTACCGTTTGTTAGTTCTCTTTATTTACTTTTTGCCGCTGCTGTTCAAGTTTCCATACAAAATTTGACATTGATATTTCGGTTTGCAAACTATTCGAATTCGATAATGGTTCGTGCTAGGGGTACTGGTTGTTTGTAATTATGTTTTCACTTTGACTCAATAGATGGCAGTGAAGACGTCCTGACACGCGCTATGGTTTGGTTGTACTGGTTTATAGTTTTACTGGATAGTTTTGAATTCATTTCAAGATTTCACTAGGATATCTTTTCACTTACGTTTTGGAAATGAATTTTTGTAATGCGTTTGGTTGTTAATTAACAGTCAAATGTTGCCATTAATTTTAATAAAGGGTACAGGCAGGCAAATTGTTTTTCAATCTAAACAGATTCTTGTTGGACTATTAGATTTTATTCATGGGACGATTGTATGATGTACTTATGTAGGACGTTTTTTGAGGTAGAACTATAAAATGCATTTTAACGTAAATATACGACTGGCGTGATATACATACAATTAATGCCTTTTGCAATAATAAACAGTTTAAAGTAGAAGGCTTATAAAATTATAAGGCAATTTTAAATGAATATTATTTAACTTCTAAGCGTTATAGGTACGCTCATACTAGCATCAAATAAAATATAATGCTCCGACTCAACTACATAAATCTCACAAATATAATATTTTTACACGTTTTTGCAACATTTTTCATCATTGTTCCGCTGCTACTGGTCGTTGCCTCAAGTTATATAACCTTCCTCGATAAATGCACTATCTAATACCAAAATATTTTATCAAATCGGAACAGCAGAGCAATGGTGCATTCGGTACAAAGGGTCCTAAACTACACAACATTTTTTTTACTTTAATTGGAAGGTTTATAATTATTTTGAAGAAAGCCATTGTGTACATAAAACAAGCTTTAGAACAAAAACTAAAGTCTACACTACAGCTCTACACCGAAGCGAAGCAAGGGCACGGTAATATCTCTTATCTATTAGACAAGTCCGTCCGTCCGTCCGTCTGTCTGTGGTGCTGTTTCAGCGGCCAAACCGTAAGAGATAGATAAAGAGAATGTTTAAGTTATAAGTTAAGAATAGTCTGATAAGACTACAAACCGGATTTGAGTAACGTAGCACTTCCGGTTTTCGAGAAATCACGAATTTCAAACGAAACCACACAAAATCTCCGAAGTTCTCAATTAATTAAATACATTTTTTTTGAAGTGATACTTCTTTATCGGCGTTGGAAAAAAAATTACCGTCACATTTTTCGGTTACGCGTCACATTTTTCGGTTACGCGTCACATTTTTCCGTTACGCGCCATCTTTTTTTATATTAATAGTTGATAGCTGAATGATCACACTGTCGCCGGCGAGAGCTCTCTCTACTCGTTTGTAGCTGAGTGACAATAGTTATTAAAGATAAGACTCGCTCAGCCAAACTCGCATAGCGATACTCGCTCAGCGGTACTCGCTCAGCGATACTCGCCCAGAGATACTCGCTCAGCGATTCTCGCTCAGCGATACTCGCTCAGCGATACTCGCTCAGCGATACTCGCTCAGCTATACTCGCTCGGTTAAGCTGGCTTGGCTGTCAAAAGCCGTGCGCGTGCATTTTAACTCAGGACTGCCAATTCGTTTCTAGTTTCTACTCGCTTATCGTTCATCGTCGGAGGTGGAACATGTGCCTTAGATTACTGAGCCGTGTAATCATAACAGTTTCATAGGCAGTAATTTGTATTCATGTCTATGATAATAAAATCCTTTTGTTTAAACTTTATCTAACCAATTTCTGGAAAGTTGCATGTAGATCATTTTTCGAAAAATAAGGCCATAAAGAAGTTCTTCTTACGTGTGTACACTAGTACACGCACACATTTATTTTTTGAAGTTATACTACTTCTTTAGGCGCGTTAAGAAAAAATGATGAGAGTGAAATTTTAAGATGCGCGCGCATCACTGTAACACAAAAATTCGCTAAAGCGACCAACTTCATGCTGTTACTTTTGTGTTTACCGCACATTAAGAAAATCTACCAACAAAATAGAAATAGAATCTCTATTTAGTAGTAGTATACAACGACTGCATTGTGAAGGCCTATCAAAAGTATTTATTAATCTGGAACAACGGAACCAAAGCGCGATTCAGGAGACTACAGCGCCATCTCTTGACCATTGGTGTAGTAGAACCAAAAACCACATCTTTATTTTTTGTAATAAAGTAACAGTTATAGGTATTCATATTTATAATATTTATCCACATGTTTCTAGTTTGTATATTCGGAATACGTGTTTGAGTTTCATACAAGTGCAAATCACATATGTTCTAATAAATTATATTCAGTAGCGATTTTAATTGAATATTTTGATTATTTATTTATTTTTTCAAATTAAAACTGAACTTTATTGACTGTGTCCTTTTCCAGACTTTTTATTAATTTATTGTTATTAATTATTTGCATGCAATTAAAAACTAATTTTAAACGATGCCAAAGAAGGATAACTTCTCACGCGCCTACATAAGTACACGCACCCATTTTTTAATTGGTGAACATTTGGTTCACTGGTTTGCTAGTTATCTATTATTACCGTGGCAAGGGCTGGCCACTATACTATATAAACGGTAAGACTTCTGAGGTGGTTAAAACAGCTTACGCAAACTCGGAATCCTGAACAAGGTACGGCGGTTTTTCACGCCCGAGCAACTATGCTTGTTGTACATACCTATAAGACACAGATGCGGTCTTACGTGGAATATTGCTCGCACCTCTGGGATGGCTCCGCCAAGTACTTGCTCGATGCTTTGGATAGGTTACAGCGGCGCGCAATCCGCATCATAGGCGATGATGAGGTGACTAAACACCTCGAGCCTTTTCAATTACGCCGTGACATGGCGTCATTAAGTGCGTTCTATCGTCTGTACCACGGCGAGTGTTCTGAGGAGTTAAATACCTTTACGTAATGACACGACCCGCTTCCTGTAATAGCCCCTCATGCAAGCCCGGACGAGCCAACGAAAAATACTTTCATAGGATTTTGAGCGAAGTAGGTTTCAGTGTTATACTCGTACCAATTGGGTGTATATGGTTTGATGAAAAAAAAACTTTGAACGTCAATCAAGTATGTTTTGTTAGCATACGAAATTATGTTCCTTATTTTCTTGTTAGTATAACTAATTTCCTAATGAGTGTGTTGTTCAAAGTATTTACTTTGTAATCGGGGCGGCTGTGTCTTGGTAAAATACTTCAAAGTGCGAGTATTTATGGTAAGCGCACGGAATTATGTTGACTGTTCTCTTGTAGATAAGACTAATTTCCTAATGAGTGCGCGGTTCGATGTACATATTTACTTGTAGTCGACTGCGAGTATTTTTGATTAGCGCACTGAATTATGTTGACTATTCTGTTGTAGATAAGACTAATTTCATAATGAGTGTGTTGTTCGAAGTACTTGGTAGTCGGTCTTCCGGACGAGGCGGGCGCGTCCTATTAAATTACTTTGAAGGTGTTGCGAGTATTTCGGGCTTGTACCTGGTTTACGTACTTTGAAGCAAAAACCTGGTAAAAAAAAGACAAAAAAATAGTGATATTATTTGTATCACAAGCGTCTATTAGCTATGGTGGTCGTTTACCATCAGGCGGGCCTTACGCTTGCTTGCAACTAGGGATGCAGTCTTTTGAAATATCGATATTTATATCGATCAAAGATAGGCATGGGTTTTATTTAAGTGCATGAGTTACCATTAGGTATACGATTATACCTATATACGTTGGCGTCGATTCTGGCATGATTATCTAAACTTAAAACTAAATTTAACATCAGTCTCTCCTTTTCATTCTGTATAAAGAATGACAAGGATACACTATTGTCAAATTTAATTTTAGCTTTAGAGAATCATGCCAGAATCCACACCAGTTTAGTATATTTCTTGGGGTTCAAGATTTTTTTAATACATCTGTGGCGGCGACATCTATCCGGGCGATGTTAGCCCCCGAGCTAACATCGCCCGGCTCGGAGGAGGATCTTCCCCTTTGGCCTTCCTACACATCTATAAGTTCTTGCGATTTCAAAGCAATTGTTATTTCGATATTAATCAATTTAGATAGTCATAGCAGGTAAATTAATTGATATTATTGTGTTCAAATTTAGTCTACGAAATATCAATATTTTGGAATTTCCGATATCGATATTAACGATATCAGTGAATTTTATATATCGATATAAATATCCATATTTTGGTCTCGATATTATCGATATTCCGATATATCGTTGCAACCCTACTTGCAACCATTAAAACAAAAATAAAAAAAAACTTTGAGATTTTATTGTATTACAGTTTGTTGACTATTTGCCTTCTGAAACGGATAATAAGGATGTTCGATCCACTTTAGTTGCGGAATAGTCCTATAACCTTTATCGAATGCTTTCAAAATAGATCTCTCCGTTTCCGTCAGGTTAAAGTCGTATATGTCGATATTGGACGCCAAATGATTGTAGGACAACGCTTTTGGTATCGGTATAACTCCAATATCAGTCTGTGAAAAGAAAATAAATATTTAAGTTAAGGCGCGATTACATTTGGACGTTAGCCCGAATACGAAGTACCAAAGGAATTCGGATAAACGACTGTGTAAAGCTCGATGGCGCAAGTGGTTAGCGCGTTCGGCTGCGATCGTTGAAATTAAGCAACTTTCGCAGTGGTCGGTCATTGGATGGGTGACCAAAAATTACTATCTCGAGCTCCTCTGTGCTTCGGAAGGCATGTTAAGTCGTTGGTCCCGGCTGCATCTGCAGTCGTTAGCACCCACCAATCCGCACTGGGCCCGCGTGGTGGGTCATGGCTAGGGCTGCCATCCGTCCGGGTTTCCCCGGATTTGTCCTAGTTTACGGGGCGTCCGGGGAGCGCCCGGGCGGGGTTTCATATGTAGTCCGGGTTTAAAAATTTAGGGCAACGCATGAGTGGCCCTTGGTGCTGCAAGTGTCCATGGGCAGCAGTGACCACTTATTATGAGGTAGACCGCTAGCTCTTTTGCCTAGATCAACATAAAAAAAGTTGATTTGTGACATTTTTAACTGTTTTTTTATTGGTCTGTCCGGGTTCTGGGCTTCAAAATCCGGGGTTATCACGCATCTTATCCTGGTTGCCACATTTTAGAGATGGCAGCCCTAGTTATGACCCAATCTCCCTATTCCATCCATAGGGAAGGCCTGTGCCCCAGCAGTGGGGACATTAATAGACTGATGATGATGATGACTGTGTAAATGAACGGAGTCGAGTACGCCCGTATTCGGGTAGATTTCCTTTTGTTTACTCGACACCGTCTTCCAGCCCGCATTGGGGCCGTCCATAAATTACGTCATCTACAATCATCCTATCGTCATTTTTTAATGAACCACCCCCCCCCCCCCCTTCTCCCAAAATTGACGTCATTACCAGTTTGACAAAATTAAAACATTGCAGATTTGAGAAAAGCTAGTATTATATGTAATATTATTGTTAGAGTATTTTATCTGTAGTTATTACTGTATTTGTGTACATCCATGTTGCATTATGTACGTTTATTATGAGTTATTTTAGTATTGTACGTGCCTTAGCCGCCTCTCACATTTGCAGTCTCACTTACTAGGTGTGCTGGAAGAAATTTCTTTTTAGAAATAATCTTTTTGTACGTGAACAATAAACTATAAATAAATAAATAAGAATGACGTCAATTTCGAAACACCCCCCCCCCCCCTATCTATCATTTACCGTCATCCGCAGACCAAACCCCCCCCTAATTTAGAATGACGTAATAATAAAATAATAATAATAATAATAAAATAACTTTATTTCTCACCACAAATGACAAAAAAGGTTTACACAAAATCTTAGGCGAATTTTATAATCATGTCGTCATTTGTGGGAGACTGGTGCCCGTGTAGGTTCATAGACCCGTGTTACAGGTCACCAGGCCCCCATTGTTTACAGAAAACATTACACCGAGACAATGATACTCTAAGGGTTTGTAAGGTAAGCATCGACTAATTATGGGCAGTTTGTGTGTATATGAGAGTGTGTGTATGTAGGTATGCGTGTGAGTATGACTGTGTGTGTGTGTGTGTGTGTGTGTGTGTGTGCGTGTGTATGTGGGGGGGGGGGAGTAAATATTATTGTATTATGATAAAATCTGCAACAATTGTTCAGTTTCTATATAAGTAAGTGCTTGTAGGTATTTTACAAGTTTTCCCTTACACGACCACGAACCACCTCTATAGAAATCTAATTTTCTATTGAGTTTGTTGTAAAGAAAGGGTCCCAAGAAAGGCAAAAATCTCTTAGAAAAAGCTGTTTTGCAGACAACTGTGCCAGCAACATAATAGCTACGGTGACGTTTATTGGTATCAGATGAGACTTTTGTCACTTTGTGCTGTCTTAAGACAATATGCAAGACGAAGAGTTGACGGACCGTGAGAACGCCACTGAGTCTGTATAAATCTATGGTGGGGTAGAGATAAGGTTTAGAGTGGATGACTTTTAAAAGACACCTCTGCGTCCGCTCCAATTCGATAAGACAGGTCTTAGCTGTACCACCCCAAACCTCAATCCCGTACGTTATCAATGATTGGCACAGGGCATAATAAGCCATCTTAAGAGTATCCCTATCAGCAGCATGGCGTAATTTTTTAAAAACGAATATTAATTTACGTATTCTGCCACATAGAGACTGTACGTGAGAGTAGAAAGTTAAATTGCTGTCGAAGAGTATGCCGAGATATTTAATACTTTCTGCTCTCTCCAAGACATGGCAGGAGCACCGAATATTGTTGGGACTATCGCAGGAATGAGCTCTAATTTTATACATGTCTCCACAAGGTAGAGTAGAGTTCTTTATTGCAAAGGTCATGTATTTAGTCTTTTCACAATTTAGTGTGAGTAAGTTATGACGAAGCCAATCACAGACAATATTAAGACCCATCTGGGACTGTGAAAACACATCTTCCCAGGTATCGCCAGCAAAGAGAAGAGCCGTATCATCAGCAAAAGTGACTATCTTGCCCCTCGGAAGCCTTAGATTACACAACTCATTTATCAAAACAAGAAAGAGGGTCGGACCGGCTATGCTCCCCTGTGGAACGCCGCAAGTGATGGTTAAATCGGAACTGATGATCTCATTTGACAATTTAACACATTGGTGTCGATCGTGTAAGTAGCTAGTAAACAAGGAGAGTTGTTTTCCTCGTATACCAATGTTTTCAAGCTTTTTTAACAGTAGAGGTATGGAAACTGTGTCAAATGCTTTCCGCAAATCGAGAAAGACGACCAAGCTTTTTTTGCCCTGATCCAGGCTCTGCGTTACAAAGTTAGTAACTGCCAAAAGCGCATCTGTTGTAGATTTTTTTGCACGAAATCCAAACTGTGAATCCGACAGTATGCTATTCTGTTCAAGATAGTTCATAAGTCGGATGTTAAGGAGTTTCTCAAAAACTTTTGAGATCGAAGATAAGATCGATATGGGACGATAGTTATTAGGCTGACTACGATTACCACTCTTATAGATAGGTTGCACTACCGCCCGTTTTAAAACTCTCGGAAAGATACCTGCGGCAAAACACGAGTTTATTATGTTAGGTAATATATGGACGGTCCCATTCCAGTGTAAATATTCCTTCGGGCGCCCGAATTCGAGTAATGTCTTTCGTGCACCTGAATACGGGCTAACGAGCCAATTTAATTGAGGCATCGTTGATCTCACTCAAACAAGCACATAATTCAGAATGGGAAAAAATATTAAATTATCAGATAAGAACCTATAGCATTATTGGCTCATTCCTATGACATGGAACAATAATAGTATTGGTTCATGCCTCTGTTCATACCGATGTTATTGATCAATATGATTGGTCCATGCCTATGTGGCTTGAGACCCTGTTCAGACGACACGCACCCGCTACACGTAAGTCCCGCGCTTCAGCACGCGCATCTAACACGCTTCGACATTGGTTGCATAGAATTTGAGTCTTACGGAACTTTAATAAAGCTCTGAATCCGTTTATCAAAATCGCGCGATAATTTGAGATTTATTGAATGATTGTCTTAAGACTCAATTTTATGCAACCAATGCATATGCTTTGCACCCGCGCTTCAGCTAGAGCGGGAGGTAGGCTTGGAAGAAAAGAAAAAAAATGGGGTGTGTGTGGTCGGCGCGGGTGATCCTCACAAAATATTGCATGCAACAAAAAAGAGTTTTTCGCGGGAGGAGACTCCTCTCCGTCTGGAGCCTCCAGACTACTCAAACCTGAGGGGATCGGCTCAACTACAAGGCGTCTCTAAGACTCGGACCTCGGCTCTAGTTAGCCGTTGTCGTGGGGGACGAGGACGCCCAGGTATGTAACAGTATCTGTTATAGCGCGTAGTGTGTAGACCGGGACAGAAATCCTTTGTCTACGCAGGCGTTTAGAATACTCCCAACAACAAACGCGTAGCTACTCACAAGATACCGTAGAACAATTTGCGTCACAGTCTTATTGTGGTAAGCAGCAATAGTAGACAACTGCGAATCATCTATTCGTGGTGGAGGGGCATCACCTCTCGCCTTTTTGTGGAATAATGAACCGAATGGTGTGTAACCCATAACGGTTATGCCTTTAGTCTTGCAGTACGAAAGAAGTTCAGGCTGCTGGAGGTTCAGATTTACCTGAAACATGTAGAAATCATAAATCAATCTTCCTAGTCTTTATATATATAATTCTTCTGTGAGTGTGTATGTCACTGAACTTCTCTTAAACGACTGGACCGATTTTGATGAATTTTTTTGTGTGTGTTCAAGGGGATCTGAGAATGGTTTAGATTCACAAAGACGTGTAGACAGGACAACGTCTGTCGGGTCCGCTAGTATATTATAAAGCTCAAGAGTATGTTGATGTAAAAAAAATGGGTGCGTGTACTTATGTAGGCGCGTGAGAAGTTATCCTTCTTTGGCATCGTTTAAAATTAGTTACAATAAATTAATAAAAAGTCTGGAAAAGGACACAGTCAATAAAGTTCAGTTTTAATTTGAAAAAATAAATAAATAATCAAAATATTCAATTAAAATCGCTACTGAATATAATTTATTAGAACATATGTGATTTGCACTTGTATGAAACTCAAACACGTATTCCGAATATACAAACTAGAAACATGTGGATAAATATTATAAATATGAATACCTATAACTGTTACTTTATTACAATAATAACATAAAAGTAACATTGAAAAATAAAGATGTGGTTTTTGGTTCTACTACACCAATGGTCGAGAGATGGCGCTGTAGTCTCCTGAATCGCGCTTTGGTTCCGTTGTTCCAGATTAATAAATACTTTTGATAGGCCTTCACAATGCAGTCGTTAGCACCCACTAAATAGAGATTCTATTTCTATTTTGTTGGTAGATTTTCTTTATGTGCGGTAAACACAAAAGTAACAGCATGAAGTTGGTCGCTAAAGCGACCAACTTCATGCCGTTCATGCTGTTAAAATTTTGTGTTACAGTGATGCGCGCGCATCTTAAAATTTCACTCTCATATATTTTTTTCATAACGCGCCTAAAGAAGTATAACTTCAAAAACACTGTTGACCATTATGAGCACCACCAATAAAAATGTTGCAAAGACATGAAAAAAATATTACGGTACCGGTAATTAATGGTAATAAATACACAAAAATATTATTCTCATAGTTTTTGTTTTGGATTAAAAAAATAATAGGTAATAATAATATATACAGGAACAATGAACCTAAAACTAAAGCCTTAAAAATATAATATAATAACTAAAATATATTATTAAAAGGAGTCCCTTTAGGCAAGGTTCCGAAAATACTGGCAGCGTTCCCCTTTTGAATAGCTAAACTAATTCTTTGTCCGAGGTAGTGCCAGCTCTTCGGTCTCCAGTGATGTCGACTAACCATTCTGCCATTTCCTTAAAAAGTCTTATAGCGCTAGGACCCCACAAAAATTGCTTATCACGGAGTTGTTTCCCTTCATAAGTTCTTTAAAAAACTCTGCGACAGCATTGGCTAACTTTTAAAGGTGACCCATTATAACCATTTTCCTCAAGTTAATGCGGGTTTCCTTGCATCCGTTAATGCCTGCTCTACCTACACGTTGGCCAACATTGTAACAAATATTATGGCAAATATATTAGCCAAGAGTTTGTGATAGCATCCACACGTTGGTTGGTAGTTCAGTTTGCTTCGGTTCAAGCCAATGTGCCAATTTATTAAATGGATGGATTTAATGGATATATACAGACGCTAATGGCTCCTGCGATTTATTTATTCACAGCGTATCCCTATTATAGTTATTATAATACTAGACATTATAGTTACGACGAGTGAATATAAAATAACAAACTAAACGCGCGGCCAATGTTTGGAGACGACGGCCATAACTCCGCCACAGTCCTTTGGTCTTTTGATAAAAACCAACACCATACGAATCTTGCGCCAACATGTGGGCCATCATGCTAATACCAAGATAATCACGAACACGATGGCCATAGGTAATGGCTATATCCATTCACCAGAATGTTGGCCAGCATGTGCAGCAGGCATCAGGACATATTCTAGATGTCAAGAAAAATAATTGGTAACCTTACCTCCACCTGCAGAACTGCAGGCGTTTCCAAACCACTGTCCAATATCCTTTCAATCTGACTCTGGTTAAAGTTTGACACACCTATTGATTTGGTAAGGCCGAGCTGTTTCGCATCTGTCATGCCGCGCCAAGTTTCCAGGTAGTCTGTGTAGTCGAATGTCGAGTTGGCCTGCGTGGTTAATCAGAATAATGCCATGAGAATGTTCTAGGGAAAATTGGGACATAAGTAACGTATATTATAACCTACTGGGAATTGCTGAAAATTTTTAACGCCAAGTCACGAATCGAATCGAATCTTTCGAGCCTTCGAGAGATAAGGATGACATTGCTGATTTTAGACAATGATCGCATAATTATTCGGTATTAACGTGGCGATCGAAATTAGCTTCTAGTAAATTTTGCAGCAGTCATTGCCTCCAAAGGCAATTACTATAGGTACTTACTGTCTTTACAAATTGCAAATAAAATCAATGTAGAGTGGATTAGCATAAACATTTGCATGTGTATTGGAGTCGATTCCTTATTCATCTAAGGGAATCTAATAAATGAGAATGAAAATCTAATGGCTTATTGTCTCATGCTTCTTCCGTGACTGCTGTGGCGGCGACATCTACATGCCCCACATATAACATATAAGCAACATGGTGTAAATAATCACGCGCCTCCTCAAGAGATGGCATTACCGGCGCTGCGATCACGATGTATGGAAGCCTACATCGTTCAAGCGAAATTCGGAGGCTAACACTCCATATATACAATGCCCGACCAACATCAGTCAGGCCGCGGCCTCCGAGCTACCATCACCCAGCTCGGAGGAAGATCTTCCCCTCTGGGATTCCTATACTGCGAGACGAAACTAATGTGCTAAAATTAGCGTTCGAAATTTGAATTAGTTTTGTCGTAAAGAATTAACAGGTTGCGTGTCTATGGACCAAGTTCGAACGCTAATATTAGTGCATTTCAGAACCAAAGTCACCCGACGCTTCACATCACGCAGGCGTGGGAGAAGCATGAGAAGCATTACTTAAACCCTTGCACCAACATTCCATCCATGTCAATTGTTTAAAGTCAAATAGAGATAGAAACATGATCAGCTTATTATAGATTTGATTAATGATCCTTGGAATCTCTTTCACTTTCCCCATCAAAGCTGAAGAAGAATCGGTAATGTGACATATACAGCACACAAAGAGGTTAGAAGGGGGCTGATCAGAGACCATTTGTGTGGGAACCTATGTAGCCGGCTCGCCCCCAACATTTCCACCTAATAGATATTAGCCAATCAAACGACGCGACATCAAACAATCGAACCAATCAGCGCACCGACGCAATCAGAATCAAGTTCTGGTCAAGTTATGCCTTAGACGACCTCCGTGGCCGTGGTCGAGTGGTGTGTACGCCGGGTTTCATGGTGTCGCCGACTCGAGATGTCCCGGGTTCGAATCCCGGTGGGGGCAGATGTTTGTGTGATGAATACAAGCATTTGTACTCCAGTCATGGATGTTTAATAATTATTTCTATAGAAATATACTTATATATGTACAGTATATGTATTCTATCCGTTACCCTAGTATCCCATAACACAAGCGTGCAGTGCGTACTTTGGGGCTAGGCTAATTGGTGTGAGTGTTGGAAATATTTATTTATGTCTGGCCCGCCAACGCGGCCCTTTAACCTCTTTCTGTGGTGACATAACACATCTGTACGTAAAATCCCATGATATCTACTTACGAACTGCCCTATAGGCCAGTGTATTAGGTATAAATCAACGTAGCTCAAGTTCAAAGCTTGCAGGGATTGTCTCAGCGCAGGCATCACAGCGTCTCTGGCATGGCGGTCGTTCCACAGCTGAAAACAATATTGCAGCGTTCACGAAACATACAAAAAACAATGAACGAGGTTAAATCTAAGGAAAATTTAGAAAAACATACAGGTTTAACCAAGAACATTCTTTTTTTGAAGTCTGTCAAAAAGACCACACGGTTTCGGACGGGTTTCGAATTGGCATCTTCCGCTGAAACCTGAACCTGGACTGAGTAGATTCCCCACCCATTTGAAGTGATAACTTCTTATGGGAGGGTACACCGCTACGTTACGTTACTCGTTACGGCGCCAGTTAGCCACGTACGACAAAACTGTGGAATATATCGTCGCCAGCAGTGTTTCTGGACCAATACGACCCAAAAACCTTAAAAAAAGAGCGTACTCCTTCCTTAAAGGCCGGCATCGCATTTGTGATACCCCTGGTGTTGCAAGTGTCCATGGGCTACGGTGATCACTTACCATCAGGTAAGCCGTCTGCTCGTATGCCCCCTATAACATAAAAAAAAAGTCTGTCTGCCCTTCGCCGCGAAAGGTGATAGACGCCACAGCTCGCCCAGGTACCAGAGGGGTGTCCCCAGACCCATCCCACTCCCTGACCCAGAGATCCCCACTATCACTCATCAATCCCCACTATCACCCACCAATCCCCTATTATCACCCATCAATTCCCACTATCACCCACCAATCCCTTAATATTACCCACCAATCCCCTTATCACCCCCCCTTCTCTACACCATCCAATCCCCTTTTCACCTACCAATCTCCTGTGCTCAAAAAAGGATAGTTTAAGTTATCACTTCTATCGTGCGTCCCGAGTCGCACACGCTTTTTTCTAGTAATATTTTCTTTAGATTTATTTACATCTAGCAGTTAGATTCTTCAAATAAAAATTAAATAATCAACAACTGTATGTCTGTCTATCACTTCAGTCGTGTGGTCATAAGCACACCCGTTTTTTTTTACTAGTTTCCGCCCGCAACTACGTCCGTGTCAACTTTAGATTTTTTGAGAACGTCACAGGAGCCTAACATTTTTCTGGTAAGTATGAATTGTATCCTAAGTCTCAATTCCGATAATTAACTGAACATGTGTCAGAAGGAGAATCTCGATGGCGCAGGTGGATAATGCGATCGGTCTGCGATTGTGAAAGCTAAGCAACTTTCGCAATGGTCGTTCATTGGATGGGTGACCAAAAAAGTTTTATCTCATACTCCTACTTACTTCGGGAGGCACGTTAAGCCGTCGTTCCCGGCAGTGTTGGGCGTAATAACTATTGTAATTTAATTACTAATTCAATGAATAGTAATCGAATTACTTTAATTGAAATTACATGTATTTGAAATTACTGTAATTCAATTACTTATGTCCGAAGTAATTTAAATTACATTAGTTTGTAATTCAAATTACTCAATTACTTTTTAAGGGTTACATAATAAACTACTAAAATTGAGCGGTTATTAGCTTGATGCCCGTACGCAGCACAACAAGCACAACACAAACAAAGTTTTAGTGTATAATTTGCCATGAATTTATGAGTGTGTAATTGTGTGCCTCGTTACCAGTACCTACACAGCTACCTATCCCTTTTCTAGTCTCTCGGCGGCATGCACCTTTATTTCGATTGATTGTTCTAATATGCTACAAAGATTAACTTACCAAGATCTTACAATCTTTCTGATCAAATGTTTGAACAAAGAGTAGTATTAACGTCTAATTTAAAATAAATTAAACATTTTTTGCCATTCATTTGAGTAATTGCAATTAACAATTATAATTGCTAATTGTAATTGTTCATTGAATTACATTTCAATAATTTCAAGTAATTTGTAATTAAAGTCACCAAGTACAATTTGTAATTGAAATTGTTAATTTGAAGTTAATTACATTCTGCCCAACACTGGGTCCCGGCTGCATCTGCAGTCGTTACCATCCAAAAATCCGCACTGGGGTACCACGTGGGCCCAATGTGGATTGGTAAGTGACCGACCATTGGGATAGTTCCATAACTTCCACCTGCGCCATCGAGCTGCTCAAACAAACCTTATTATCAAATCAAACCTACCTTAGTGGTGACATATACGTCTTCCCTTTTCATCCCTCCTTCTATTTTCATCCTCAAAGCTCTACCAACCTGATCCTCCACTTTGTAAGTGTAAGCTGTGTCTATGTGACGGTAGCCAAGATCGATAGCCATTAGTACAGCTTTTTCTACTTCATCCCCTTTTGAGATAATACGACCCTGTTAAAGAAGAGGATATTACGACCACATATACAAAAACAGAAAGCAGTTAGACTACTTATCATTATATATATACTAGCAAACAAATGAACCAAATGTTCACCAAAAAAAAAATGTATTTCATTAATTGAGAACTTCGGAGATTTTGTGTGGTTTCGTTTGAAATAGAAATCACGTGATTTCTCGAAAACCGGAAGTGCTACGTTACTCACATCCGGTTTGTAGTCTTATCAGACTATTCTTAACTTATAACTTAAACATTCTCTATATCTATCTCTTACGGTTTGGCCGCTGAAACAGCACCACGGACGGACGGACGGACTTGTCTAATGGATAAGAGATTTTAAGCATGTAACTGCTCGATGTTTAAATCTAAAGAAAATATTACTAGAAAAAAATCCACGCTGACCAGGCAGCAGACGGGACTTGAACCCGTACTCTTCGCTATTAGGGCGAATGCACTGACCATTATGCTACCGCCGCCGCGCCGCCCGGATGGCCGTGTCGAATACTTTCTAGCCTTTCTTAAGCTGCAAGGCAGCGCCTTCTCTTCGCATTGTAGGTAACCCACAATGTCAATTGCATACCTTTATAAGTATTAAACATTTGAAAGAAGAAATAGCAATGACAGTTAGAAAAAGAAAGAAGCAGGCTAGAAAGAATTCGAAGAAACGCCCATCAGGGCCGCGGTAGCATAATGGTCGGTGCAGTAGAGTCCTGGCCTGGTCCGCGTGGAGTTATTTCTAGTAATAAATAAATATTTCCAACGCTCACACCAAATAGCCTAGCCCAAAGTAAACACTGTAAGGCTTGTGTTATGGGATACTAGGGTAACGGATAGAATACATATACAGTACATTTATAAGTATATTTATATAGAAATACATATTAAACATCCATGACTGGAGTACAAATGCTCGTGTTCATCACACAAATATCTGTCCCCACCGGGATTTGAAACCTCTCGAGTCGGCGAAACCATGAAACCCTGTGTACAAACCACTCGGCCACGGAGGTCGTCAAATTATTATATATTTTCTTTATACTTATAATTTTTTAATTGGTCAGGCCCCTTGCCCAGCTTCAGTTTCCTGGTCACGAAAGGGGTTAGACCGATTCAACTTCATCTCTTACACTCTTGTCTCCCTATATGTCTCTTATTTATTTCTATTTCGTTTCCTCTCTTCTTAATTTCGCCTCTCCTCTTGCTCTCTTCCACACCCATACGACCTCTCTGGCTGCTTCCAACGCGGCCTCGGATTCTTAAGTGCCTTTTCTATCAACTATGAAATTCACCACATTACAACACAACACAATCGGGTGTCCGCTTCGCGTGTTTGTTTCATGTAATTTATAGAACTGCGCTGCGTGAGGCGGGACTCCCGTGTAGTATGAAAACGTACGAAATTATATCCAAATCTTAAACGCCTACGTCCCGTATTACAGAATGACAACTAAGTGTTGATGTTTACTTGAGTACAGTTAGAAAGGGATGTCGCTATGTGCCATATATAGCACTATCCTTTTCTGACTATGCTCAAGACTAGATTCATTACTGAAAATATTTCTATAATACGGGCCTTCAAGTACAACTGCCGCCTCTCACCGCGCGTATATCGATATATCGCGTAGATGATATATTATTATCGTCTACCCCCTCCACGTCGCCCTATCGCATTTTTGGTGACAGCGAAATCCGAATACCATCCTATCATTATCGAAGTTTGAAGTAGGGATGTCGAAAGTTGAAAAAAATATCGATATATCGATACATCGATATTTTAAAAAATATCAATATCGGCTTCGATATATCGCGAAAAAAACATCGATATATCGATATATCGGACCAATTTTCCCAAAAATATCGCTCACGAAATATGACACGCGGAATAATAATGGAACGAAAATTATCTCCCTAAAAATAGACCCTATTTTCGAATGATGACATAGACAATACTAAATACCGCACAGATCATAGGTATGTTGTATATCATTAATCTGAGATCCAGTTACGATTTTTCCAGATACGAATTTAGTTAGATCGTGATATGCCGCTAATAATTAAAAAAATATCGTTTTTTATACGAATTTCGATATTGGTTATTTTGTATCGATGTATCGATATATCGAATCAAAATATATCGGCAAAAAATATCGATGTATCGAACAAAAAATATCGATATATCGATACATCGATATATTTTCAACAAGCCTATCACTTCAAAAACTGCTCGCGGAGTGGACGCTCGCTCCGTGCTCCGCTTAACGTAGCGCAGGCTCCTAATGTAATCAATAATGTAATAAAATATTGTTTAAATTTGTGAAATTTACATAAAATATGGATGTGTAATGGACGAGCGGAGTCGCCTGGCACAAGCATTGATTTGCTTAAAAGGGGACTCCTGCCACTAACTATTGTAAACCAAATCATTTATGAATAAATTATTATGTTATTATTATTATTATAATGTGATTAAGAGCGAATGAAAAAAAACACATCGGTAAATGTTACAGTTACGATATAGTACGAAATTACCTGAGTATTGTTACCGAGCCAAGTGCCTAGTGCCAGCCCTGGTATTTCATTGCCATCGCTGAGCTTTATTTTTTGCACCGCTAAAGCACAACCCTGCAAATATACATGGTTACAATAAATAAATAATAATAAAGAAGTTTCAGGCACGCACAATAATTATAATCAGCGCTAATTTCATCGCTATTGTTACTTTTTAGGCTTCGTAACTCTATTGCTGCCACTCTGCCGTCTGCCTGTCTGTTTGTATGTGACGGGTCGAAATATCGTAAACAATTATAATTTCTAGTAATATTACTTTTCTCTATGATCGTAAACTTTTGTCGTAAACGCAATGAGTGACAGGATAACAATTTTGGTATTATAGTAGAAGAAAGATGTAGATGTAGAATATATATATATATTACAATTTAACTGAATATTTTTGTACAAAATTATGAATTGAATGCAAATCTGAACGGAATTTGGAATAACATCAAACTTGCATTCAGTCGGGCACGCGCTCTCGCCGCGGCTGTACTTTGCTATAACGTGTAAATAACTACGTTTTTCCTGGTTTTTCCAGACAAAAAGCCTTTTGTGTGTTTTTAGATAGTACAAAAATACACTGGAACTATTAGAGACAAGAAAACGTGACATTTCATTCTTAAGTACAGATTTTTAAAAGATATGTAAAAATATTTAGTGATTACTTATTTTGGCAGCTGCTGACACCGTTGACACAGAGAGGATAAATACGTGAGTAATCTGCTCTATGAATGAGAGTGAAAGATACAACTTTATTGCACTCTATAGGCGGCTTGTTGTAATATAAGGAAGTATGGCACTACATACCTTTGTCTACTTTTATAAGAACATACCTGTTTCCTGTTGCTGTCATACCTTTGATTTTTGATTGCGTACATTGCGAAAATGTTATTTAGTATATTCTTAAAAATAAAGTTCAATAATAAAACTACAGTATAGTGATTCAAGCCTTTTTATTGCCTCGCCTAAAGAAAATAACCACAACGCGGCTGTTGCCAAGGAAAGTTGGGACGGGAATTACTTGTGGCATTTTAAAATGCAATCATGTTGGCTTTCAACCTGTCTATATATTATACGACATTGGCGTCATATTAAAGATGAAGGAAAACAATTTGTGGCGACGATGCGATGAAATAAAAGTTTAACATAATAAAACAACTCACTCGGAATTCCGTTATCGCAAACATAACACAAACTGTGATAATGTTCAGCATGATTGGTCAACCTTTGAGACCTTTATATAAACAACCAAACAAAACTACAGACAACGTGGTCTCGGATGCGAATGTAGTACATGACTAAATTGATATACCTCTTCTTTTAATTATCTTTATAGCTGACCCGGCGAACTATATACGTCTAACAACGATATTAAATACCCTAGATACACCAACACGAACAAAATCGTGCCCGAAACCTGTCCAGAAGGTACATTGAACGATCCACGGAGCTCCGTAAAATGATCGCGTAGTCAAAATCAATATAAGGCGTTATTTAAATATTGAAAGTAACTTCTAATACATACTGTGTAAGGTCTTAAATAAAACGCAGGCGTCAAGGACTTCTGACAGTTCGAAATGCAAGCTCGTAAAATTTTAAGACTTATTGCTATATGCGGAAGAATTAGACCTTAGTTTTTTGACTCTACGCGCAATTCTGAACGCGCTGTTAGCAATATAGCAGGCACGGACCGTGAGGAAAAGAGACGGCTATATGGCGACGTATCGACCATGCATTTGAATATCACAAATATTTTATATTTAATCAGTTTATAGTAAGTATTACATCAAAATTTTCTTCAGATGCGTTAAATTAACAAACATTGACACCTGTCGAAAAAACGACACTTTTCGTACTAAGTATTATTTTCGCATTTTTTCGCGGAGCTCTGTTGCATCTTGACCTCTTTCTGTGTTCTGTGATCTTGACTTTGTAACGGTCCGCGCGTGACTGTGAACCAAGAAGTGCCTGAATGGAGTTCAAGCACTTCTTGATTGGGACACATTTTGAGCGCTCGTGGTGTATCTAGGGTATTTAATATCGTTGACGTCTAACAGTCGATGAATGTGGTTATCTAATTTTAGCTCAATTAAATTATCTATTTCACAACCGAAATAAGTCGATTACAAAAAAGGTCAATACTTTATAAGGATAGTATAGATCCGGGGCTTTTTTTTGAGTGTCGAAAAGCTAGAAGCGGCTACTAAAGTGGCTGAAGCGCGTGACAGCGGCCGACTAAGGTAAGGGAGAGAGGGGTGGGGTAACGCGCGAGTGACGTGTGGGTGTGGCGGCGTTTTGTATCGGCGCATTAAGTGGCCGATGCGGGTCACAAGAAGCGAGCAACGACGATTTGTAGCGTGTGGCGGCCGCCGGCGTGCCGTGTGTGGCGAGTCCATATAAAATGTATGAAAACTACAAGAAATATGCCGGTGGCGGCGGTTTGTGGTTATCTTCGGTGGCCCGTGTGCGTCGACACTTAAGGGCATCAAGGTCCGCAAAAAGAAGTTTTGCTTACGTAATAAAAAAGTAGAGAGTATAGATCTGCGTTAATAATAGACGCGTAATTTATATATTATATTAAGATTATTAAGTAGTTACCGTGGCCATCTGTGGTCTTCATCATCAGTTCCACTTTAACACCAGGCGCTTTCAGAGAATAAAAATGGACGATTTACTAAACGTCTTTTTCTGTCTGCTCCGCACCTTAGGTGTTATATTAGCTAAACAGCTAGTCTTAAGAAAATATTACTAGAAAAAAATCCACGCGGACCAGGCAGCGGACGGGTATCGAACCCGCACCCTTCGCTATCCTGGCGAAGGCACTGACCAATTATGCTACAGTTCCTATAATGCGAAGAGATAGCGCTGTTTTGTAGCTTAAGAAAGGCTAAAAAGAATTCGACACGGCCATCAGGACCGCGGTAGCATAATTGGTCAGTGCATTCGCCCGGATAGCGAAGGGTGTGGGTTCGAGTCCCGTCTGCTGCCTGCTCCATGTGGATTTTTTTCTGTAATTTTTCTTTAGATTTAAACACCGAGCAGTTCATCAATCATCATCAACAGCCTATCTTAGCCCACTGCTGGACATAGACCTCTCCAAATGCACGCCGCTCAAATCGATCGATCGATCGGGCTACTCGTATCCAGCTCCTGCCAGCCACCTTGCGCAAATCGTCACTCCATTCTTTAGATTTAAACATCGAGCAGTTACATGCTTAAAAAATTAAAAATATAAGTAAAGTCTTCTTTGTCAAGGTCTCTATCTTGCGAAAGTTTTGTCAATGCTCTGTTTTATTCATTAACCAATCATGCATATATGTAAATTGAAGTTATAATCTTGTATCTATTATTAACTGGAAGAATGGAAACCTGTTTTCAATCTTGTCTCGATGCTGAGTACCTTGGTTACGCAATAATAAGCGTTGTTATTGTCAAAGATTAAGCAGCCGATGGATCGGTTGTACGACAGGTGTACGAGATTATTATTTACCTCGTATCATGTATATAGACTACTAAAACTCAAACGTTAGACTTCTGATACGTTTGGCAAGCCTGCGTGGCGCATCCTCGCCCGAGAAAAGCACAAGATAAAGCTGATGATAACGTAAAACCCTCATCCCTGGAAGAGGGCACGAGAGATAACACTTGCGACACTATTATTCATTACGATCAACTTATCATCGCATGATAAAATAAGGGATGACTCAAAAACCCACATTCCTAATAGAGGTCATACAAGATGTCATTCAATATTAATGGGACACCATTAGTTAAGGGTAGATAATAACATGCATGTTGAACTAGCTGATAAGTAAAAAAGTATAAAAACGGCCTGCGTGCCAAAACCAATGTTCATTTTATCTCCGACTCTGCTCTGTAAATAAGCTTAAGTTGTACTTTCAATAAATCATTTTTTTAACGCCTCCAGTTCTTTCAAATTATCAACTCGTGGTAATTAATTGACTTGTGGTTGCGGCAACTGTTGGCGATTGTCCGCGCAATCTACCCCCATGGCAATTCCACGATAGTATTTGAGCTCGTTTACCACCTACGTGTAGTGTCTGCGCAATATTTAATCATTGAGTAGTTAAGTTTGTTTCTCGCTTTGTTGTTGCGATAGTGATCTTGACTCCTGAGCCAACCGGCCGGCTTGTTACCGCTTGTATCAACCGATATATGCGTTGAGATGGACGCGCGTTCTTTGTGGTTAATTTTAACAATACTGGCTGTAAGTAACTTTTTCTTCTCAAATATTTTTTTATGTTTTTAATTTATTTTTAAGCATTTAACTGCTAGATGTTTAAATCTAAAGAAAAGTTTACTAGAAAAGAATCCACGCGGACCAGGCAGCGGACGGGACTTTCTAGTAAACTTTTCTTTAAATATTTTTTTGTTTATGTTCTAAGAGTAAGTGTTAAGAAATTATACATAATCTCTTTGATATTAGGATACTTTTTCTTTCATAACTCACTCAGTGCCGGCAGAGCCGATATCTTAAATGCTAATAATAGTATTTTTTCAGAGTATTGTCTCAATAGGTTTTCGAAATTCCTTCTCGAACGGTACGGACATGGCGAATGGGGTTAGTCGTATAAAATTGTAAGATTTTTCCGTCTCACAATCGTCAGTTGTTTCGTAGCGTCAGAGATGTGACATTTTAAAAATAACAGTATTTGAAATAGAACATAGAAAATACCTATATCCATTTTGTATTTAAATACTTTTTTTACAAAAGCATTTTCTAAAATGGAAAACTTTTAAGGACATATTTTGTATTTGCAAAATACTTTTTAAGCGACTTCAGAAAGGAGGAGTTTCCTAAATTCTCAATTCGGTCGGTATATTCTTTTTTGTGAATGTACACCGATTTCGCCGAGATTTGACGTATTTTTTGTCAGATGTAGATTAGTTGCCATTTAGTCACATACATAAACATTGAATTCGGTTTGGTGTAGTAGTTTTTATTATGGGCGTTTTTGTTAACTTTTGCGGTGTAATTATTCCGATACTTTATTTAGATTCTTTTTGAGGGAATTGTGCTCATGCACTACAATTTAGGCTGATCACTTTTGTATCCCCTAGCTTGATGGTAGGCAAGGGCCTATCGACATAAACCCCCACGGTGTTCCAACAGCATCAACGTTAGGGATACAACAATATTGTTAGTATATTCACATAATGCAACGCTGATTTGAAAATATGTCATTATTTAATTTTTAAGATTCCATACCTCAAAAGGAAAAACGGAACCCTTATAGGATCACTTTGTTGTCCGTCCGTCCGTCTGTCAAGACTGTTTTTCTCAGGAACGCGTGGAGGTATCATACTGAAATTCATATCTAATACTTACAGTCTACTGTTCCTTGGGGCTGTGAAAAAAATCAAACTTCTATGCCAAAGCAATCAAAAGATACAGCCGTTTATGACGCAAATTTCCGAAATTCGCACGGGAATCAAAACCTACTCCCGTGAACTTAGAATCTTGAAATTTGGTACGAAGTAACGACTTATATAGTACAGATAAAGGATAAATTGCATACATTTTTAGTTACATCATAATATATAATAACAAATATTTTTTAATAATTATTAATATCATCATCATCATAATCAGCCTATTAATGTCCCCACTGCTGGGGCACAGGCCTTCCCTATGGATGGAATAGGGAGACTGGGCCATGACCCACCACGCGGGCCCAGTGCGGATTGGCGGGTGCTAACGACTGCAGATGCAGCCGGGACCAACGGCTTAACGTGCCTTCCGAAGCACGGAGGAACTCGAGATAGTAAATTTTTGGTCACCCATCCAATGGCCGACCACTGCGAAAGTTGCTTAACTTCAATGATCGCAGCCGAACGCGCTAACCACTTGCGCCATCGGGCTTCCAGCGAATTATTAATATAGGTATACCTACAGGATTGTACGGAACTGTCGGTGCGCGAATCCGACTCGCACTTGGCTGGTTTTTTCTTCGATAGGAGCGGAGACAACAAAATACGATCTTTCGCCAACCTTTTATTTAAAAAAAAAACTTATAATGTTTTTGTTTACTATTCCAGGCGTGCCAAAGTTCAGGAGTAGCGCCAAGGCTCAAGTTGAACGATGGCAAAGAGGTCCCAGCGCTGGGACTCGGCACTTGGCTGGGCTTCACTAAAGATGTGAGTATCTAAGGGTCGCCGCACACGGGCCACACGCCACAGCCACAAACGCCCGCCGCGCGCCGCCACGAGAAGCTAGAAGCGGCTAGCTACTAAAGTGGCATTGTCCTAATACAACGCGATAACGCGAATGAGCGATGCGATCATCGTACGAATCGACGATCAAACATATTGATCTAGAATAGGTGTCCTAATAGGCGATCGCGCAGAAAGTAAGCACTGTAGGCTTGTGTTTAAAGTAGGAACTCTAACAAACAAAAACATGATAATCTATGCAGATCGAGACCAAATCGTGAAATGAACTAATTTATACTTATTCAAATTGACTTATTGGAAGCTCTCTTGAATCACCCAATAGCTTTTCCTACAGGACATCTTTTAGCTGATGAGAAGAATGGGCGCAAAAAACTCATCAGCATTTAACAGAAGTAGCAACATTTACAAAAAAAATATCATGTCCCTACCAATTGACAACGTCTACTCACATTATGATTGCTGAAACTTTAAAACTCACCATTTTGTTTAAACTAATATAAAGAAAACCACTTGTGTCGGGCTTTGATCTGACTCAAAAACCCATGCGAATTTCGTACAGTGCGATTCAAATAAGAATAGGACCAACTGGGCGCCATTTTGTGACGTCATAGCTGTCAATTCAACCCGGTAAGGTAGAGTGCGAAAAAAAAGTTATAACAAACCATAAAAATGGTTTTATTTATTTTTAAGCATTTAACTGCTAAATGTTTAAATCGAAAGAAAAGTTTTACTCGAAAAAATATCCACGCGGACCAGGCAGCGGACGGGAATCGAACCCTTCGCAATCCGGGCGAATACACTGACCAATTACGCTACCACGGCCCTGATGGCCGCGTCGAAATATAATAATATTTTTTTTTTGTATTAATATTTTTAAGTTTTTTTTTAATAAATCTTATTTACAAAGATTAAGTGAGAAAAAAATATCAGATTTTTAAATAAAATTTTCTTACTAATATTGAGAGAAATAAAAACATTATTTTTAATAATATTTATTTATTAAGGCAGAGTGAGAAAAAACATTAATCAGAATCTAGCTCTTTAATTCCGCTCATCGCTGCACTACCATCGGAGTAGTTAGTCTTCATCATCAACACTGCTGCTTTCGGCTATAAAATAAAATATTGATTATTGTAGGTTTTAAAACGACAACTTTATTTAAAATAAAATCGTTTGTTTTTATTACCTGAATTTCTAATAAAACTAAAGTTCTTATATTTCCTTTTTCCAGTACTCATTTTCTATACGTTCACATGATTTATTTCCGTCTTTTGTTTACAAATGTTTGGTTTTTATTCTAAGATTAACTCAGTGCTAAAAAAAATGGTTGCCTGTAAAGTCGGTTTTACGGGCGAAGATTTTACGTGACAACGTCTTTTTCTCGGTAGAATATTTATTGATATGAATATAATTAAATTGCACAATAGGAACAAGGAATTGAATGAAAATAAGAATTGCACAAATTTTAACTATAGAAATATATTTTGTTTACTAAAACATTGTACATGTAAACTTAAACTTAACACGAGAGACTCATCGTAACGTTACCGAGCGTTACACTTTTTCATAAGTGACTCCCAGCCGCAACCTAATTTAAGACGTTGTCACGTCAAAAGTGGTCTAAGATATTTTGCAAACCGTACTTTTCAAGCGACATTTGACAAATGGAGGTAATTGTATTTCCTATTCTTATTTGAATCGTATAGTAAACATTTATATTTTAGGGCGGCCGCGTCCAGTTGAAAGGTAATGAGATTGAAAAAGCTGTGGAATGGGCCATCGACGCCGGTTACAGGCACATCGACACGGCTGCCATCTACAACACGGAGTCACAGGTAAATAAAATAAAATAAATATTTCCGACACACCAATTAGCCTAGCCCCAAAGTAAGCACTGTAAGGCTTGTGTTATGGGATTCAATTATAATTTGTATTAAACAGCTTTATTTCTCAAAGTTTGTCAATAATAAAAATTAATAAATATGTCAATAAACATAATAATTTAGGTTTGTATTTTAAAGATATATACTAGGGATAGAATGCATATACAGTACATATAAAAGTATATTTATATAGAAATACATATTAAACATCCATGACTGGAGTACAAATGCTCGTATTCATCACACAAACATCTGCCCCCACCGGGATTCGAACCCGGGGGCCTCTCGAGTCCGCGACACCTTGAAACTCGGCGTACAAACCACTCAGCCACGGAGGTCGTCTCCAACCATTAGTACAGAACTGTTTCAGCTGTGTATCAATGAGGTAATTCCTCTAATATTAATAACTAGCGGCCCGCCCTCGCTTCGCTTCGGTGTAGAGCTGAAGCGTAGACTACTGTTTTTGTTCTCATGCTTGTATTATACATAATGACATTCATCTATGATTCTTCTTATACCTGCATGCAAAATCTCAGCCCGATCGGTTTAAAATTGACAAAGTTTCATACAAACTTTCATTCCCTATTTTATCCCCTTAGGGGTAGAATTGATCAAAATCCTTTCTTAGCGGATGCCTACGTCATAACATCTACCTGCATGCCAAAATTCAGCCCGATCCGTCCAGTGGTTTGGGCTGTGCATTGATAGATCACTATGTCAGTCACGGTCATTCACCTTTGAGTTTTATTTATATAGATATTCCCATGAATTGTTATGATGTACGGGATATCTAGGACACGCAGCGGCGGAAACTAAGGAAAAACGGAAGAATCTTGTCATTGAACTGCGCCTTGAGTTGGTACTCAAGGCGTATTAAATGCAATAGGCTAGTTGACCCTTTTTGGAAAAAGGTTTTAAATGGTGAATAAATGTTCTATTAGACCGAAAAAAAATGTATTGTATTTTTTTGAGACCTAAAAAGCTACAAATCTTTAATTTTAAAATAGAATTTTCATGGACATACAAAAACGCTGTCGGCCATTTTAGTCTATAGATTGTCTATGCTATGATGTCAATTATAGTAAACAAAAACTCGTAAGCACGCAGAAAATAACTTATCTGAGTTTATAATAAAAAGAACACGATTTCTAAGAAATACCTCGAAAAATAAAGTAATTATCATTATTGTATTGTACGAGAATATAAAAACACATCCTTGAAGACTCCAGGAATGTTATGGATTAAAGTGCCGAAAGAAATTAACCTACGCAACTTTATTACACTTATTCATATGTTGTATCAGTTTTATGTTTATTACTACATTGTAATACTAAATGCACTGTACTTACATAGATGCCTTGTCGTTTCTCTGCTCCGCAGAGCAGAAATCGGGGTTTAGTGCAAAAAATTCACCAACCATCAATGCGTCAATTCTTGGCAGATTTGTGCTTTCTGCTTTCACAAAGCCGGCATCCATAATTAGTTTTGTCAAAAAAAAAAGTAAACGGAAACTTTTCTAAAGTTAAAAGTGTTTTAAGATAAATTTATTCAGACTAAAGAATCCACCCACAATAACACGCGAATGACATTTAGTTGTTTACTGAAAGAGACGTCACAATCATGGCGGATGTGGCGAACAGCGTTTTTAGTGTTTAAAAAATATAGACTCAAAATTATTTTTAAAAATTAAATTTCTACAGCAATCTTCTGCTTTTATGAAGTGAAATCGATATATTTAGGTTCCTTAGACTTTAGATTTAATACGATTCGATATGAGTGAACTAGCCTATTGCTTATTCTAGAAACTGTTTAGCATTCACGCTCATGTTATGTTCATTCAAAGTTCACAGAAGCAGTAAAAACCTACGCTATGCAACCTAATGATATAATTAAATCACTAACTTTCCTCAAAATTAATTACTTATTCCATCAAACCCAATGTTGTGGTAATTTTTTGGTTAAGCGAATTGCTTCCTGTAATTCGCGGATCACTTCATATGCAAATGAGTACCCAGCAATTTTCGACGCGTTGTAGAATATAATAAAATTTGGAAATGAAATGAAATGAAAAGTCATTCAGTCTAGGCTGCTACAAGCACTTGTGAAAGGTCAAGAAGCTACGCCATCGGGCCTTAAAAACCATTATACCCTGTTAAAAAGTTATTAATTTTGAATGCAACATTGTGTTGGAGGCGAGGCAAGGCGCAGTTCAACGCACCGCACTAATATGTGACTAATATCATAAATAACTGTTACAGGTTGGCATAGCTGTGAACCAGAAGATAGCAGAAGGCGTAGTAAAGAGAGAAGATCTGTTTATTACTACAAAGGTATGTTTCAAGTTTAGTGAATTTAACTGCTATATTTATAAATCTAACTTAATTGTAGATAACCTACCTACAATGCGAAGAGATGGCGCTGCCTTGCAGCTTAAGAAAGGCTAGAAAGCTTGATTGCTTGATGTTTGAATCCAAATAAATAAATAAATATTTCCGACACTCACACCAATTAGCCTAGCCCCAAAGTAAGCACTATAAGGCTTGTGTTATGGGATGCTAGGGTAACGGATAGAATACATATACTGTACATATATAAGCATATTTATATAAATACATATTAAACATCCATGACTGGAGTACAAATGCTCGTATTCATCACACAAACATCTGCCCCCACCGGGATTCGAACCCGGGACCTCTCGAGTAGGCGACAGCCATGAAACCCGGCGTACAAACCACTCGGCCACGGAGGTCGTCCAAAGAAAATAACTAGAAAAAAAACCACGCGGACCAGGCAGCAGGCAGGACTCAAACCCGCACCATTCGCTATCCGGGCTGGGTGCATTCGCCCGGCATTTAAACATCAACCAGTTACATGCTTAAAAATAAAAATTATAAATATAATTGCGATTTCTGCTTTCAAATGTTCAATACTTGTAAAAGTATTCATTTGACATTGTGGGTTATCTACAATGCGAAGAGATGGCGCTGCCTTGCAGCTTAAGAATAGCTAGAAGAATTTCGACGCGGTCAGGGCCGCGGTAGCATCATGGTCAGTGCATTCGCCCGAATAGCGAAGGGTTCGAGTCCCGTCTGCTGCCTGTATGTGTAAAAAATATATATATTGTTTATGTACTTGTGCAAGTTTCTGTTTAATTGATGATAAAAGTGAGTTGATTAATTGATAATAAACTGAAATTTCCCCATACTTGCAGTTGTGGAACACCCATCACGCCAAAGATGCTGTGGTGCCGGCTCTACAGGAGTCTCTTCAGAAGTTGAACTTGACCTACGTAGATTTGTATTTAATTCATTGGCCGATTGCTGAATCTGTGAGTATAATACTGTAATATTGGGTACCCATTCCTATGGGCATGAACCTGTACCCTTAGTACGAGTTTTATAATTACGAAAACTACGATAGTTTTCGTGAGCTCGCACTCTTACTAAGGGTACTAATTTTACTGTTTTCGTTTCAATACAAAACAGTGTTTAAATTCTATCATTAAACCATTTGCGTATTCTTAAATTTTAAGTATATTTGGTTACTTTTCACCAAAATGGACATGGAAAAATAATTTACAATTACGAAAACTATGATAGTTTTCTGAGCTCGAACTCGTACTATGGGTACTGGCCTGTGCCCCAGCAGTGGGGACATTAATAGGCTGATGATGATGAATAACTTTTTATTTGTTTTTCTTCCATAGGAGGACCATAAGTTGGAGAGTACCGATTACTTAGAAACTTGGAAGGGTATGATAGAAGCTCGAGATCGGGGTCTTACCAGGTCCATAGGAGTATCCAACTTCAACCAGGCGCAACTAGACCGGCTGCTGGCTAATACTGACGTGAAGCCGGTTGCTTTACAAGTGGAGGTAAACTTAGATTAAAACAAAAAGGGAAGATACGGTACGCTCATACTAGCATCAAATAAAATATGGTCCGACTCAACTACATAAGCAACTCTTACACGCACACGTCTGTATATAAACATTTAATCGAGCGAGCGAGACAAAACTGTACGCTTCAACGCAAGCGTATTGTTGTGCTTTTCTTGATAACAAAATGGCGATTACGTACAAAACATTCACAAAAAATGTTTTGACAGTTTTAGGAATGAAAAGTGTTGCCGAGGAATTTTTTATTTGATTTTTAACTATTTGTGTTCTTTATAAAAGCATCGAAGGCGTTGTTTTACCTTTATAACACAGAGTATACGCAATATGATTTTTTATTAAATTTTACACTTAAAATAACATGTATTTTAAGTAACACTTCCCAATTCATTCGCAACAATTATTTTTTTTACATATGGAATAAAATATTTACAATCACAAAACTAGAAAGAAACTCAATTACGTAGATGAAATTAAAATACTGCAGGCGGGTAGCCCTACCGCGTGATACGCCCCGCTTGGCCGTAGGCAGTTATTTCAAGGACAGGGCCGAGTCACAATACTGTATAGATAATATTACCGTGCCTCGACGATCATGTGACATGAGTATGACCATTCGGGACCTAATGTCATATTTAAGAGATGATAGATATACTCACACAGTGAATAAACTGTTGTATCGCTTCTTGTTGGCCGTACATACCTGCCAGAATACCAGCGCTGTTACGGTGAGAATATTCCCGTCCCATTGTAACAGCATTAAGCTGAGGCAGAGTCCTGATTGGCCTTTCTTCTTTCTGCATGTTGTCGTTCTGTGTTTTTATTTTTATCTATACATATAAAACTCAAAGGTGACTGACTGACTGACATAGTGATCTATCAAGGCACAGCTCAAACCACTGGACGGATCGGGCTGAAATTTGGCATGCAGGTTGATGTTATGACGTAGGCATCCGCTAAGATAGGATTTTGATCAATTCTAGCCCCAAGGGGATAAAATAGGGAATGAAAGTTTGTATGAAACTTTGTCAATTTTAAATCGATCGGGCTGAGACATTGCATGCAGGTATAAGAAGAATCATAGATGAATGTCATTGTGTATAATACAAGCCTGAGAACAAAAACTGTAGTCTACACTTCAGCTCTACACCGAAGCGGAGCGAGGGCGGGCCGCTAGTCGTTATATAATTTCTTATTGTTACCTGCTTGAGTTTTTAGGCCAATAATATTTCTTTCTTTCTTTACATTAGTAGTAGTACTTTTAGTGCTGTTATGTGTCTGTCAACTTAGGCTTGTTACAAAAATTATATTGTTCGTTTCAGATAAACTTGAATCTCCAACAGCCCGAGTTGCTAGCTTACTGCAAGCGCCAAGGGATAACAGTCACTGGGTACACGCCATTCGGGTCATTGTTCCCGAGCAGGGCGGCTGACGACGCGCCCTTACCGCGCGTCGATGATCCTGCACTGGTGGCGATAGCGCAGAAGTATAATAAGACTGTACCGCAGATTGTGCTGAGATATGAGGTGAGAATAAAAGATTTGTTATCACAATTTGAATAACACCGAAAGCGTGGTTAAAACGGCCTCAAACACACTCGGAGTCTTGAACAAGGTGCGACGTTTTTTCACGCCCGAACAACTGTGCTTGTTGTACAAAACGCAAGTGCGGTCCTGCGTGGAATATTGCTCGCACCTCTGGGATGGCTCCGCTAAGTACTTGATCGATGCTTTGGATAGGTTACAGCGGCGCGCGGTCCGCATCATAGGCGATGATGAGGTGACTAAACACATTGAGGCTCTTCAATTACGCCGTGACGTGACGTCGTCACTAAGCGCGTTCTATCGTCTGTACCACGGCGCGTGTTCTCAGGAGTTATTCTTTCTTTTTCCACCTTCCCCTTTCCTTCAGAGGACCACGCACGCTGGCCTACGATGTCACCGTATAACTGTGGCCACAATTCCAACGCGTACAAAATTTCTTGGATATGACGAATCTATAAGGGTTTAAACATCAAGCAGTTACATGCTTAAAAAAAAATATAACTATAATTGCTATTTCTTCTTTCAAATATTTAATACATGTAAAAGTATTCATTTGACATTGTGGGTTACCTACAATGCGAAGAGATGGCTCTGCCTTGCAGCTTAAGAATGGCTAGAGGAATTTCGACGCGGCCGCCAGGGTCGCGGTAGCATAATTGGTCAGTGCATTCGCCCGGATTGCGAAGGGTGCGGGTTCGAGCCCGTCTGCTGCATGGTCCGCGTGGAACTTTTTCTAGTAATATTTTCTTTACATTTTAACATCAAGCAGTTAGATGCTTAAAAAATAAAAATTATGTCTATAAGGGTTCCTTTTTTTGCCATTTGGCTACGGAACCCTAAAAATTATAGGTAGTGTTATTTTACTGTGGCCTTATAAGGTAGAGTTGGTCCACCCTCTCTTGAATTGTAAATTATCTCCTTTTCACTCTTACAGGTGGAATTGGGCGTCATCCCGATACCGAAGTCCACAACCAAGGAGCGCGTCGAGCAGAACATTGACGTGTTCGACTTCAAGCTCTCACAAGAAGACCGTGACGTTTTGAAGGCTTTCGACAAGAACTACAGAGTTATACCTGTCAAGCACTGGAAAGATTCCATCTACTACCCATTCGAGAAAAATTAATGGCAGTTTGCACTAACCTTGGGAGTTTCTAAACTCATTCTTTAATATAAAGGCGACTATCCAAACATTGAGAACCCATAGGCTCGTTAAAATCGGTCGATATTATCGGATGCGTTATTGCAATATCAGATTTTAGTAGATTATGTATTAGGACGGCTACAAAGTTACTTAAGTACTGCTGCGATAACAACGACCCAATAGAAGTATGACAAAAAACGCATTTGATATTATCGACCGATAAATACGCGCCTATGGGGTAAGACCTTAAGATGTGAACACACTTACACGACTCCACTCCCACCCGGCAATAAGAATATAATTTCAATATGAGCTTTAACTACAGCTCTTTAGATTTTCTTTTCTACAAGGTTTCCCGTCGTAGATTTACGAACCGATGGCATAGAGTTGACGTTCACACAGTGTATGTAGCCAGGGCCGATTTTTAAAAATCGGGAGGCGTTATAGAAAAAAGCAGTACATGCATACATCTACTTTAAAATACAAAATGACCTTTCGGTGTCCGACGCTCATGTAGCAATATCAGTATAGTTGTATAAATATAATTTGTTATATTTTTAAAGGATTTATATAATTGTAAAATTTGTACTCAATTTTGTATGTGTGCATGTTGGTGTGAATAAAGTTTATCTATCTATGTAGCCGTCAATCAATTCCATCCCCCCCTAGCATGAGCATCGCGATATGATATATAACGCGTTTTTATCACGCTCAATTGTCAAATTACTATATAGTTTGACAGTAAGACGCGATTAAAAACGTTATATAATGTAAATTGTGGTGATCATGCTATAGGGACGTAAGTCAGTCCTGAATAATAAAACCCGGATGGCGCCTAAAAAGTCTTCAGATTAAACCACAAGTTATCCATCAGTCCTTGACTGCCAGCAAAACCTACCGTCTAAAGGATCCTCTCAATGAACTCGCCAAATCCTGAATTTAATGACAGTAAATATGTTTTGTATAACTGAAGAAATGTCTTGAATACCTATATTTTTCTCAAAGAAAGACAACAAACATTATAGTATTTACAATTTGAATATTTGGATTAAATTACATGATTACACATTTTATTAGTGTTTTATTGATGGAGACAAGAATTTGGATGGGTTTTATTCTATAAATATGTTCGAAAATTATAGCACCACACTTGATTTTAACAGAGTCCAGACGCGAAAATAGCTGGTACAGCAGTTCTGCCTGCCACACCAGCCATCCTCACTCCTTATTTTACACATGGTTCATCCGTTCAGCCTATTAATGTCCCCACTGTTGGGGCACAGGCCTTCCATATGGATGGAGTATAGATTAGGCCATGACCCACCACGCGGGCCCAGTCCGAATTGGTGGGTGCTAACGACTGCAGAAACAGCCGGGACCAACGACTTAACGTGCCTTCCGAAGCAGGGAGGAGCTCGAGATAGTAAATTTTTGGTCACCCATCCAATGACCGACCACTGCGAAAGTTGCTTAACTTCAACGATCGCAGCCGAACGCGCTTACCACTTGCGTCACCGAGCTCCTCAATACACATGGATGTTAAGTTATAATATCATTCAACTTTAGAAACATAGGCTGTACCGATTAGTGTAGCAGGACTGTCGATACTTGACCTCCGAAAAAAAAAACGAGCGAGTCTTACAGTAGTCGCGTATGATGTGTAACATTTGAAACCTCACCTTATATTAGTAAAAAAAGAAATAAACCTACTACAAACGTAATAAGCCATTTGAACATGATGTTCTAAAATCAAATCAAACAGCGCGCGCTTTCGCGACTTCCCGTTACACACTTCCGTCCCATTTCAGGAAATCACTTCCACAAATTGCAGGAAAGCGAGAGGAAAGATGTTACACATCAAAAAGCTGCTGTTTTCCAATATAATTTTAAGACAGACGCGGACGTGGATGATTGCAAAGAGCTCCGCAAAATTTGACAATGACATTTCGCACTTGCAAACTATTCGAATTCGATATCAGTACCCTTAGCACGAACCAATATCGAATTCGTAACGTTTGTGAGTCCGAAATGTCATTGTCAAATGTGTACTGATTTTTAGTTCTCGTTGCGTACTTTGTGGCGCTGTTGTTCAAGTTTCCATAGAAAATTTGACAATGACATTTCGCACTCACAAACTATTCGAATCCGATATTGGTTCGTGCTAAGGGTACTGATATCGAATTCGAATAGTTTGCTAGTGCGAAATGTCATTGTCAAATTTGGTACAGAAACTTGAACAGCAGCGCCACAAAGGACGTAACTAGAACTAAACATCAGTACAAATTTTTACAATGACATTTTCGGACGCAATCTATTCGAATTCTATATTGATTCGTGCTAAGGGTACCGTTTGTATGCGTTGGTTACCGAATCCTAAGGCGCTGGACACAGAAAAGACGCAAGACGCAGACGTAAATCTCTCTTCAGCGTTCTTTTCATGCAAAAAGTATGGCAGCATCTCGCGTCCCGTCGCAAAACATGTTAAGAGCGGACGCGAGCTGAGAGACATTTGAGAAATAGGTATTAGAAAAAAAAGCGGGTTGCACTCCGGGAGAAGTGCAGTGCCGGTAGACAGTGGCGGCGCTAGGCGTCGGCGACGTCGGCCACCGCCGACGGCCTCGCGCCTGAGGGGGCCTCGCAAAAAATTTTTACAAGTCACCTATTTATTTTCGTTTCTCCTGGCCTGGCTTAGGTAGCCAACCCCGAACAATTCGGGGAAAAAGCTAAGCAGATGATAATGACTTTTATTATTTACACGTGCGTGATGGAAGCGAGTAGTACTTTACGGGCATTCAGAATCGTCTGTCTGACAACACTATTTTTGTAATTAAATTTCTATGTTTGTAATTATTTTTTGTCATCATTTGATTATCAACAATAAAAATTGTTTACTCATACGTTATTTTATAATTTGGCTCACTTAATTTAACGGTTTTTTACTGCGAATTAAAAAAGGCCTCGCGAACTTGATGTTGCCGACGTCCACATGTGGTCTAGCGCCGCCACTGCCGGTAGAAGTGAAAACTTGAATAATAACGTTGTGCATTTTTGATATTTTGGAATGGTTAGGGAATAATTTTGCACGAATTGCTTTAATTATCAGTATAAAAGTACTATTATGTATGTGGTAGAATACCTACAATATTTATTTATTGCGTTATCGTACACAAACAAGTCAATTTATATAACATTAAAATAAAGCTTATCTATCAGAAAAATCAACTTATATGAATCACGTTTAAGCGCACTTAGCAACATCTATTATAAAGAAATTAACTTACATGAATCACATTTAAGTGCACCTAGCGACATCTATTGTAAAAAAAATGCATTTTCTACGCAATAAAGCTGCCACGTGCACGTCCTAGATAGCGTCTTATTATTTTAATACGATTAAATAAAATATTACTATGTTTCGTCCAATATATTGAAAGTCAACAACCTTTCCAATTTTATTGTGTGTCATGATGCGATCAGCTCCCGTGTTTAACCTGACGCGAGTTTAACATTTTTTATCCATTCAAAAAAAAAAGTGTACAACACCGCTAAAGAAGTTTTCACTTCGAAAACTATTGCTCTCACGCATTGGCAAATACCGTGCGATAGGGACAATAGTAGTAACCGCTACAAATTGCGTATAAAAATTGCAAAAATCGAGGTTTGGCTCTGGACGATTTCCTCCTTGAAAATTAGATATATGTAAAAGAAACTTTACACAAAGAATAATAAGTAGTTATCCTATGCCTGCATCTTTTGCGTTTTTTGTAAATGCTTATTAAATCTCCACACTTGACGTATTTAGTGGTGATAAAAATTTGTTTATTGCACGCCTCACAACGCGTAAGCGTGTGTGAGTGCTTTACTCTCGATAGGCCGCTATGTAACGATTTTACAATATACAATCGCTCTTATCTCCCAAGTTAGACACAAAATCAATAAAAAAGGGGTGTTTTGAAAACTAGACATTAAATTATAAATTCAGCGTATTTTTTTAGTATATATAACAAGAAAATGTAGTTAAAAAATTATTAGTACTGCTGTCCGTTGGTCTGTGCACTAGTTTGTCTGCACGTTTTAGAAAAATATACGCAATTAATTGTAATTCAAAAGGATTGAATTAATTTCAACTTATACTGAAAATGAACCCTATTTCTTATCATGATTGAACTGGTAACCGTTTTAAAGATATTAACGAAATTCAATGGAATTGAAAAATTACTGTTTCGTGAATGTGAAGCGTGCACTTTTGGATTTTTCAAAATTTTTTGATCTTTTTTGAGGGCTTCAAGTTTCTTTGTAACACAAGTTATCGAAAAAAGGAAGACATAGGAGCATAGAATAAGTAAAATTATATATTATGTATGAAAATCAATTCTTTAGTGATAAAAATCAAGGAGGAATCAGTCGTGAACGTTTGTATGGAAAACACATTGCCCAACTCCCCTCTTAAAGAACAGACAGGGCGCGGACACGCCGCTTCTTCATTTTGTATGAAACTGACAATATCCGCGCCAAGTCTGCATACGTGTTTTCTGTGTGTCCTGTATGCCTAAAAACGAATGAATAAGTTTAATAAGTCATAGCAGTCGGATACATCAGACGTAAATCGGATAAGATATAGAGTAATAGGTGTACATTCATAAAGAAAACATAGCGACGGAATTGAGAAACTCCTCCTTTTTGAAGTAGGTTAAAAAATAAGATGTGTTTGCCCCATAATAGTTGAGACACAGACATTGTCAAATCAACCACCACCACTAAAGAAGTAGGTACTATGGAGCTCTAGCCAGAATGGATAGAACCTGGGGACGTGGCTCTTCATTAAAACAACTTGACGATGGTTATTATTTTATATTAGATTTCAGGCGAGTACAATTATTTTTATCTAACTACGAGAAGTTTGCTTGGTGCCTGAAGATCTACTCTTGAAAGGAACCTTCTATCAAAAAGACAGACGATTCCTTATTTCAAATCTTAAAATC